TTTGGCTAGCATGATTGATTTTTTTTCTTATGTTTCCAAATATACCATATATCTATGTTGATATTTGGTTCAGCTCTTTTCATGCATCAAGTAAGCCATACCATTGATATAAGAAATTGGTAACAGACCTAATTTAGGGTAATGAAAATGCATTTTTAAACTCAAATATTGCAAAAACAGCAGGCAGAACCAAATATCAACAAATGGTATACATATTTGGAATCAGAAGAAAACATTTTATAATTCTATCCAAAAATATACAGGGTAGTCCATTTGAAAAAATGAAAGTGTTTGTCATTATGACAGTTGACACCTGTCATTTGTCGGTTTTGATATGTGCAAAAGATAATAAAGATAAAACCCTAACTTTTTCATCAACTTTTCTTATTAGTTTTTTTTGTTCAAGTTGTAGAAGCGCACTACTTGATTATAAGGAACATACCCTGTATACATACCCATATACTTACTTTGAAATCCTTGAAAGAATAGCAAAATAATTATTTGTTCATATTTTTACTCATATTTTTATTTGTGGGTTATTAATCTAATGGCCAAAATAAATAAATATGTTCCCTAGATAATATGTCAGTGTAACTCAGTAACTCAAGCAGCTACCAAAAATCTTTCTCTCAGTCACTCGCAATCGCGTACAATCGTCTGCAATCATTCACAATCGTCTGCATTCATTTACAATCTTCTGCAATCATTCACAATCATATGCAGTCACAATGCAATCCTCCAAAATCCGACAATCGCTTCACAATCCCAGATTGTAGTCGCAATCCCAGCAATCGTAGGGAAATCATAGGGATTGTCGCAATACTGTCACAAAATTTAAGAAGATGTTACCCCCTCGATCGTGACATTTCATAGTTATTCAATGACGTTTCTGGTTGGTAGAATGAGTGCAAAGAAAATGTATTTCTATCTGTTCCTTCAATAGGCTGAGACTGCTGAGAGAAAGAGATGGAAATATACTCAGTGCAAATTGAATCTATCAATCAGGAACGCCATTACACAGACACAGATATCCCAAATTAATCCAATTCCAACAGATACTTGCTTGTATTTCTGGAACCTTAATATTTAGGTATAGGAACATTATAGGTACATCATTTGTAAGGGATTTTAATTGTCTTTCCAATAAATTTATGTAATTTCAGACAATAAAGCATATGTAATGTAATGTAATATTTCATAATATACAGTGTCATTACCTCGGTCATTACTTAAGTGTGCAACATATGGGATTTTTTTCAAAGAATAGCACAATCAAAATACAAAAAAAAACCAAAAGTTGGTGCATGTCTGATAATCATATTAGGTGCACTTAGAATGGTTGCAAGTCAAACAGCATACAGGGTAGCTCAAAAAATATCAAAATTGTAGTAATATTCACTTAAATAAAATAAAACTTTTACACTTCAAGGAGAGTTTTTTTAATATGCATATTATCATTAGTAATGTTTTAACTTGTTAAAAAAAAAATTGCGACATTTTAAAGTTGTGTTGAATATCATTGCAACAAACATGAATTTTGTGATTCCATAAAAAATTAAAAATCTAAGTTAATTTTACAAATAAATATGCTTGAATTTGAACAAAGTTATGTAAAATTGATTGCATTTTGATTAATTTTTGAAAGTATTAAGGGCGGAAATAAAAAATAAAAAAAAATATAGAAATTAAGTACCTATAGATTTTTTTCAAAAAAAAATAAAAAAAATCTTAGGAGGCTATGTTTTGGTATTTAGGCATAACTTTTAATTCCAAACAACTTTTCTCTATAACATTTTGCTGAATACTCTAAAATAAGGGTACTTTACAGTACAGCTCTGATATTGTTTGAGCTACCCTGTATGCTGTTTGACTTGTAACCATTCTAAGTGCACCTAATATGATTATCAGACATGCACCAACTTTTGGCCTTGTTTGTATTTGGGTTGTGCTATTACTAAAAAAAAATCCCCATATGTTGCACACTTAAAAAATCACACTGTATAGGGTGTCAATGGTTTCCAAAATCCTCATGTACTTCAGGTGATTCCAAACACCCTGTATAGGGAAAATCTATTTTGCTGATCAGCAAATTGCTGATAAAGCAGTTTTTGGCTGGATAAGCAATTTAATCGAATCAATCAGTTTGTAAAGTTGCGGTCAGTTAGTAGAAGTGATGTGAGCCATGCAAACAATTGCCGCCTCCGTCCGCATCTATTGCCACCCCCAGTATAAAAAATACGCCTGATGTATTGAATTTTTAATCCGATTTGATGCGGTCACTCAGAAAGGGTGCTGTCAACATCAAAAATGATATTTAGGAGATGACCGCCCCCGACCGCCGCCGTTGCCGCCCCCCAGAATTAAAAATACGCCTGATGTATTGAACTTTCAATCCGATTTGATGCGGTCACTTAGGATGTGTGCTGTCAACATCGAAAATCATATGTAGAAAATGACCGCCGCCGACCGCAGCCGTTGCCGCCCCCCAAAATCAAAAAAACGCCTGATGTATTGAATTTTTGATCCGATTTGATGCGGTCACTCAGAAAGGGTGTTGTCAACATCAAAAATGATATTTAGAAGATGACCGCCCCCGACAGCCGCCGTTGCCGCCCCCCCAGAATTAAAAATACGCTTGATGTATTGAACTTTCAATCCGATTTGATGCGGTCACTTAGGATGTGTGCTGTCAACATCGAAAATCATATGTAGAAAATGACCGCCGCCGACCGCAGCCGTTGCCGCCCCCCAAAATCAAAAAAACGCCTGATGTATTGAATTTTTGATCCGATTTGATGCGGTCACTCAGAAAGGGTGTTGTCAAGATCAAAAATGATATTTAGAAGATGACCGCCCCTGACCCCCGCCGTTGCCACCCCCCAGAATTAAAAATACGCCTGATGTATTGAACTTTCAAGCCGATTTGACGCGGTCACTTAGGATGGTTGCTGTTAACATCAAAAATGATATTTGGAGATGACCGCCCCCGACCGCCGCCGTTGCCGCCCCCAGAATTGAAAATACGCTTGATGTATTGAACTTTCAAGCCGATTTGATGCGGCACTTAGGATGGGTGCTGTCAACATCAAAAATGATAGTAGAAGATGACCGCCGCTGTTGCCGCCCCCCAGAATTAAAAATACGCTTGATGTATTAAACTTTCAAGCCGATTTGGTGCGGTCACTTAGGATGGGTGCTGTCAACATCAAAAATCATATGTAGAAGTTGACTGCCCCCGACCGTAGCCGTTTCCGCCCCCAAAATCAAAATTTCGCCTGATGTATTGAATTTTTAATCCGATTTGATGCGGTCAATTAGGATGGGTGCTGTCAAAATCAAAAATGATATCTAAAAGATAACCGCCGCCGACCGCAGCCGTTGCCGCCCTCCAGAATCAAAAAAACGCCTGATGTATTGAACTTTTAATCCGATTTGATGCGGTCACTTAGGATGGGTGCTGTCAACATCGAAAATCATATGTAGAAGTTGACCGCCCCCGACCGCAGTCGTTGCCGCCCCCCGAATCAGAATTACGCCTAATGTATTGAATTTTCAATCCGATTTGATGCGGGTTCTTAGTAAGGGTGCTGTGTGTGATATACGTGTGTGTTTTGTAATTATTGTAGGTGGCAACCAACCTTTATACATAGCTTTGTCAACTGACAAGTGGTACTTGTTATGTCAGTTGGGTAGTCATAAAATTGCAAGTTGTCAATCATAGCCCCTTGTGTTAAGATGTATTTTCTAATCTGTTATTAAAGTTATATAAGTAATTTTGATTCTGGGGGCGGCAACGACTGCGGTCGGGGGTGGTCAACTTCTACATATGATTTTCGATGTTGACAGCACCCATCCTAAGTGACCGCAACAAATCGGATTGAAAGATCAATACATCAAGCGTATTTTTAATTCTGGGGGGCGGCAACAACGAGGGTCGGGGGCGGTCATCTTCTAAACATCATTTTTGATGTTGACAGCACCCTTTCTGAGTGACCGCATCAAATCGGATCAAAAATTCAATACATCAGGCGTTTTTTTGATTTTGGGGGGCGGCAACGGCTGCGGTCGGCGGCGGTCATTTTCTACCTATCATTTTTGATTTTGACAGCACCCATCCTATTTGACCGCATCAAATCAGATTAAAAATTCAATACTTCAGGCGTAATTTTGATTCTGGGGGCGGTATTGACTGCGGTCGGGGGCGGTTAACTTCTACATATGATTTTCGATGTTGACAGCACCCATCCTAAGTGACCGCATCAAATCGGATTGAAAGTTCAACACATCAGGCGTATTTTAAATTCTGGGGGGCGGCAACGGCGGCGGTCGGGGGCGGTTATCTTCTAAATATCATTTTTGATGTTGACAGCACCCTTTCTGAGTGATCGCATCAAATCGGATTTAAAATTCAATACATCAGGCGTATTTTCTATACTGGGGGCGGCAATGGATGCGGACGGAGGCGGCAATGGATGCGGACGGAGGCGGCAATTGTTTGCATGGCTCACATCACTTCTACTAACTAACCGCAACTTTACAAACTGATCGCATTCGATTAAATTGCTTATCCAGCCAAAAACTGCATTATCAGCAATTTGCTGATCAGCAAAATAGGTACACCCCCCTGTATATACATGTTTAATCAGCTCTTGAGGAATATTCAGGTATTTATGCAAGCCAATGGAATATTAAAAAAGAATATTATTATTATAAGTACAACTCAAATGGGACACCCTATAAATTCCAACTTTTTTCTATTTGATATGGAGTCCTCTGTGGAAGAGAATTTACACAAACAAAAAGGGGAACACAGGAAACGAAAAATATCTACACAGTTTGTCTGGAAATGAACGGATCAGGCTAAAAATAGCCACCCTAACAGGAAACAGTATTATTTAAAATGAGGGTGAATAGGATATTGAACATATGTTTCAGAAATAGCTAAAGCGAGCAGTTTACGTAGTAAGAGTAGAAAAGCCTTTAAAACTGAAAATTCTTACCAATATTTTAGTAAGGCAGTCACTTGTAAGGGGTTCACTTGATCAGGATAAATTTTCCTGCACAAATTGTACAACGACTCCAAACCTGCTGGTGTCGGAGGAAGCATATTAATTGGTGGTGGATGGTGTGTGAGCGCCGCTGCTTCGTCCATTTTTAATTAGGAAACCTGGAAAAAGAAAAAAAATATTTAACAATGGACACTATTGTCTTCAATGTCTTCTAGGAATTCCAGAAAAGATACACCAACACTAATGTTAGTCATCTAATTAATTTATACTACATTAATACTTCACCTTTAATCTCTATTTTATTGGAGAAGTGAAGCACAAGTAGTAATTATTTACAAAATTAAAAATAAACAAACAAAAAGAAAAGAACCCAACCAAATACTCAAAATTCTCTGGAAGATAGAACTGCTGACAGTTGTGATGAGTAGTGGTGCGGAGGAGAACTATCGATTGTTCCTACTGTACTGTTCTGACTGTTCTTTCAACCACTAAAATTCGCTTTGACTGGTTTGTGACTTTTGTGCGAACAGACCTATAGAGGTATGTTTTGTGTTTTGAGCAGCATTAAGTGCGAACAATCTCGCTTGTATTTCAGTATTTTGGCACTGAATTGAGAAGCGTTCCTTCATAAAGTGCACATTGTTCGAAACTGTTCATCGGCAGCGTAGCCTGCAACAATTTTCAACCGGATGAGGTGCACACTAGTCAAGGATCACAAGCTGGGTTCGGCTATTCAGCGCGGGGTTGGAGTGGAGTGAACAGAGCTAAAGGAGTCACCCCTAATACGGTAAAAAGCAATACCCGAACGGCTAAAGTGCGAATGAAGTCGGTCAGAGTGCACGGAGTGAGCAAGCCGAACCCACCTACACTAGTGGTGTTTTCGGTCTGTAGAATCCATTGGTAGAATCAGTGCAAAGAATATGTATTTCTTTCTCTCAGCCTAATAAAGAAACAGATGGAATAATACTCAGTGCGCGTTAAATCTTCCCCAATCGAAAACGCCATAGCGCCATAGGTACCGTTCGGTGCTGTTTCGATCGAACGCACCCGGAGTGTCATCAAATCAAAAGAATGGTTTTTTTTGACTGACAGATCGAGTTTAACAAATGTCAAAAAGAAAAAACTTTTCCTAACCTAACCGACCGGTAGTGGTTCAAAATCGAAAACAGCAATCAGCATCAACATTTATAGTATTTAACGTGTTTTGTGTTGTTTATTTAACTACTGTGCTTTATCGCCTTTATTAGTACTGTTTGGTATTCTGCGTATTATTGGACTTTTTTTCATTTTTTGCAGTTCAGCTTGTATTGAACAGTTAATAATTAACAAACCTCAAAAAACTATACAGAATACAGAATATAAGTTCCATTTTCCATTGAAGAAAAAACTACCTATTTTGAATCCATTTACATTCACCAAAACTTTAAAAGCAAAACAAAATTTAACATGTTCTCTGATCATGGATCTACCGTTGAATCTACCACATCGTTTCATAATCTGAATGGAATATTTGTATCCCAAAAAGTTAACAAAATAAGATGGAAACCCGAGACATTTGGGGAACCTCATTTCTTCCTAACTGGGAGCTGGGACGATGAGAGTAACAAAATAGTACTGTGGGATATTGTGGAGAATGCAGAGGAAGAGGATTTTTATCCATTTAGTGTTGCAGAGTATCCCTACTGTGGAGATGTAACAGAAATGAAGGTATAAAAACAAACTTCTCAAATCCAAGTGACTTAAAATTTCAAATTTCTCTTTTAGTTTTTGAACACTGAATACTTTGCGTGCAGTTCTTCATCAGGATCTGCTAATGTGATGAGAGTTTCATTATCCGAAATTGGCGAGCCCCTAATTCAAAACTACACTACATGGGAAAATCTTCACTATTTCAAGAATGGCGATCCCAGTCCTTGTACAGCCTTAGCAGTTCACGATAATGATATGGCTACTGTAGGAGAGGACGGCCGTATAAATATCTTAAGAGCTCAGTCAAAAGATATTGTCAGAAGAATAGGTAATAATAACCATCTTTACTTGCAAAATGGTAGTTTTTTACAAGAATATTTTTGTATGTTCACAGATAATGCTGATAGTTGCTCCATCAATTGTGTGATATATTTAAATCACAATGAAATATTGACTAGCAATCTGAGAGGTCAAATGAAGTCATGGGACCTAAGGTCTGATACTAAACAGCCTAAAAGCAGTTTTATGCTTAGTGGAGATCTAGTGACTCCTACTCAGTTGACCTACCACCCAAGTCAACGATATATTATAATTGCGGGTATAGCTGAAAATATACCATTTATTTGAACATTTAGTTTTTAAATTATTTTTATTATTAGGAGATGAATTGGGAGCATTGACCAGCTGGGATTTAAGACAAAATACATACCCAGTCAATGTCCTCAACGCCCACGAAGGAGCAATATCTGAAATACAGTTTCATCCAGACCACCTGGATCATCTTTTTAGTTGCTCTAGGGGTGGTGAAATTTGGCATTGGTCAACAAAAACGAAAAACAAATACGGATTGGAACATGAAAATATCAACGCCTGGCTGGCGCCAGATGATATCAAGGCCAAATTGGAAGTTTTGAATTTGATGCCTACATTAAAAAAACCAATCAATACCTTGGATCTCAGCAACAATAGAGTTATTTGTGGTGGCGATAATGAAGCAATTTATTTAATTAATGGTATTACTTTTTAATTTTGTTAAAAACATTTTTTACATAAATAATAAATAATTTTCTCTAGAAGTTTAAATTAATTACATTTTTTGGAAAAACCAAAGATTTAAATATGCTACTCCTATGAGAAACTTTAGGCCTATCAACATGTGCTACTTTATCCTTAATGTCCGATCTTGATAAGTCCCCTCTCAAGCTCAAAAGCCTCATTAGATGGTCTTCAGATATATCTGGATATTTCTCAACAACTCTATGCAGTTCAAATGAAATCATATCGTCATCACTTTTTATAACTTCAGATAGCATTACAATAACTTCAAATTCATCATCCTTGTGTGTAATTTCATTACCTCTCGATATATTACCAAACAAATTATTCAATCTATCAACTTCTTTAGAAATTTTACTTGCTGCATTGCAACATTCTTCAAATGTTTTGAATGACACCCTCTTAGATAACATCGCTGTTAGATAACGTTTGGCTACAGTACTTCTCGCTTGCTCCACTATAAAATTATAATTAGTTTCTGCTAGCCTATTGTAATCTTGAAAATAGTCTTCCAAAGTAGCATAAATCGTTTCTAAAGAATCTAAGCTAGCTAGCCATTGGGCATTAAATAATTTTTCAAAATGTTGATCCAAATCAATAAATAATTCTTCAAGAAGGAAATTGCCAGCTTCATTTCTTAATTGTACAAAGGTGCCTCTTAAACGGCTAAAATTGTCCCCTATATGATTAGCAAACAGACTACCAGAATATTGTTTTTCTAAAAGATTACCTAAATCAACAAATTGCAAGCACTGATTAATAATTATAATCATGTACTGCGTGAAATATGGAACTTGCTTGCGATCTTCAAAGTATTTATTTTTGAAATCTATTATACCATCCCTAAACGAATCTCTGAATTTGATTACTTGTTCGACACTCAAAATTAGAACTTTTAAAGTGATTTCTTCGCTAATTGTTTTAGCTACATCAAGATTTTGATTTATCATTTGAAATATTATAATAGGTGCCGCTGTTCTTGTATATGTATCTGAATCTGGTCGATTAGCTGATCTCCATTCTTCCTTTTCTGATTTCAGAGTGTTTTGCATCCATTCAATGTAATTAGTTTCGATATCTTTTAAGTAACTTGACACTAATCTTTCTAGTAATGGAGTTGGAAATAAAGGTCCCAAGTTTTTAGTGTATTCAATCAAATCAGGATGCCCTAACATGTCTTCTGAATGATATGTTCTATAAAAAAAAGACAGCATTGTAACAAATTCAGTACCTTCCAGTCCGTTTTGAATTATTTCTTGCAAATGAATTGAGAGGAATTTATGGTACATCATTACATATTTATCTACGATTTTATACTCAGGTGGAAAGCATGGAAGGCACAAGGTTTTAACTACTCTTAAATCCTCAACGAATAATTGCCTTATCAGTTCTAAATATCTAATTATCCAATGTTTATTATCTTCTCTTTCTTCAACTTGGGTACCTTCAATTCTAGATTCCACTGATTTTTCAAGGATATTAAAAGCCATTTGTTTCCACTTTTTTGGTCTGCCAGGTGCTAAAAATCCAGTTTGTTTTTCCTGTTTTAATGCAATTTCATCTGCCTTTTCTTCTCGTTTTATAATTCTCAAAGCCGTTACTAATTCTGCAGGATTTTTTCGTACAGTATTCAATGTGCGTGATAGTATGAAAACAAGTTGTTTTTCCAATAAATTAGATAAAACCTCAACTTCGGAAAAGTAGGCTTTAAGCAAAGATTTATCATGAGGCGATTGATTTGGTAACTTGTGTAACTCAAATAACAAATCATCTCTGGAATTTTCTAAATCCCTTAAACACTGATGAGTATGTAAAAGCTTGCCCTCATTTATCCATTCTTTTGTTTTCTCAACACTCTCAGGAACAGTGAAAATGTGTTTCAAATTTTCTCTAGCCGTAACATATTGGGAGTGTCTCATGTTTTCATCTCTAACATCGTTTAAAGCCTCAAAAAGTCTTGTAACTTCCCCAAACAAACTGAATGTTTTCTTGACGTCAGTATTTATTTCAACTGATTGCTCTAAACAAGAATGAAGCTGACTTATACCAGTTCGTACACCGTCCAATTGCTGCTGCATTGCCGACTTCAGCAACGCTTCAACTGAACATTTTTTTCTTGAAAACCTTTGCTTGATTTGGTCGATTTTTTCCAGCTGACCTGGTCTGTTGAACATATTTACGATTTTTGCTGTGGCTGAGGCTTTCGAGGTCGCCTCCCATTCTCTCATATTGACTACTCGGCTCATTTTTGTTCTGAAATAAAGTGAAAAATAAAAGGAGATTATTTACTGTAATCAGTTGCAATCAGCCACTTCCACGTGTCAGGAATATGGCAAATTATGATATTTTTTGATGCAAATACATGGATGCAACCAAGAATGAAAAATATTTTAGTCAGATTATTATAGCTATTTATATAACAACTACATAAAGTAAGGCTTTATTGTACGAATAATTTTATGGCCGAGCGAGCTTGCGAGCGAGGCTATTAAATAATGAGTCAATAAAGCCTGTTTATGTAAGCGTTATATACATAATTTTATGTACGATTCCGATTGGTTTTTGTTAAAAATTAAAAAAATTTAATGAAGAAAGTAAAATTCACGTAGGTATACCTGTTTCACCTTGGCAGGTTGTCAGGACCTGTTTCACCTTGGCAGGTTGTCAGGGCCTGTTTCACCTTGTCAGGTAGTCCAGGTGGGCAATAGAATAGCACTTTATTTTACTAGTAAAATAAAGTAACACTTTATTGATCAATCGGACATAAAATAAATTATTAAATAAAAATAGCAAATTTAAACAAAAAATCACGTGACTGAAAACGTCGTCTCATTGGCTAAAGCCGATATTCATGATTTTGTTGCCACATTCAAAAATGTATTAAATGAGTTCAACAATTATACCTATCCTATTATTTTTTCATAACGTAGTAAAAGACAAAAATGGTTCCTAGGTGTGTAATGATTCACTGCTTGGCATCCTCACATTTTCCGGAAAGTGACGTCACTTTCCGAACCCGCGTTTTCGATGCAGTTCAAAAAAAGCGTTTTGTTTTAAACAAATTATTCAGATCAGATGATAAGTGGCCTATTGTTTTTTTACATAAAATTGGTTTAAAAAGGAGCTAGAAAAAAATTGCCAAACTCATTTACTTTTCCAATAACTCTTTCGGGGGATTCCGGATCCCCCGTCATAAATCTGGTGACCCTGTGCTACTTTACTTCCTTATTCCTTACCTTGAATTTTTCTGGCAAACTATGGCTACAGATGGTCTTGGTAGTGAAAAAAGTAGAAAACTAAAAATTGATTTATTTATATTTATATCTTTCTTTTTATTTACCTTTGTATTGACATTGACATTTGATGTTTGAGGTTCGGTTCGATAATAGTTGTATTCCTTTCACACCTAGGAGGAACTCCGAAACAGCTCCGGGGCTTTACGCACTTCTCCTTTCAAAAAGTGTTTGCTGCACCTGAGGTGCTCAAGCCCGAATCAAACCATTTAAATGCATGAAAGCCATCGCATCTGTTCCTTTCAAATCAGGGTCGACTAACACCAGAGCGAGTAGCTCTAGTGTTCTAAACTCTTGAAAGTAATACAGCTAATCGATGCTGACGTTCTCAATTATAGCAAATTCCATTGGCATAAAAAGTGTCGCACCGGTGTGGCACCCACACTCATCAGATCAATCTAATAGCGCTTTCGACTCCTGCTTTAAAACTGCATTCGATTGATCAAAAAGCGATCCGAAACGGATTCACATGTTCGGAGCGTTGCTCTCGGCGAGGTTCACGTGTTCACCTTGAGCAATAGAACGCTCTCATATCTCGCACGGAGCCAAAAACCGCTCTAAAGTACGTTCGGCTATTGATTTTGAATGATATGCGTCACCGCCCAGACGGAAAAGCGCTCTGGAGCTGCTTTCCAAATTCCAACTGAGCATTTTGAATACGCAATCAAGCTCTAGAGCACCTCGGTTTGTTTATAGGCGTTCCAGTCGGTTCCAGTACTTCAAAGTTTCGCGCAATTGAACTGTTCGTTTTTCCACTTTCCTGCCCTCTCAAGCACCCGCGTGCACGAGTGCATCAAAAACACTGCGCTTAAAGAAGGGGGCGTTCCAGTGAACCTACAGTTGTTTTTGGAGCACCAGAGTGTGAATCTAATGGCGATTTACATTTGTCAGTTAGTGCGCACTGAGTGTATCCGCATCTTTTTCTAAAAGCGTATAAAAGCCTAGTCTCCATAGACGCGAAATCGCGGAAAGCGAATTTTTTAAGTGTCATTTTTTGGTGGCTATTTCCGAGCAAATTATTCCCATGTCTCCATAAGCGCGAAATTCGCGTTTTATTTAACAGGTTAGCGTTACCTATGTGTTGTTGTTTGTAATCAATTTGAATTCGATTTAAATGCTTTGAATTTCAAACACTAATCTTTGAAAACCATGAAAGTGATTACTAAAAAACAAAAAAAAATATGTGTCTTGGTGTTGTCTTAATTACATTTAAGGCCCTATTATAATCTTCTTCATCAACCAGCAAGCTGTAATTTATGTCTGTTTTCGGGTCTACAATATTCAATTCTTTGGCAGTACCTATCCATTCTTTATTAGGTATCTACAAGTACAAAACACATCAACGACTCACAGAGGACAGAGCACAGAACAGAGCACATACCGACAAAAACATAAACAAAACTAAACTGAAAGTAACACCACATAACCTCATTTTTTTTGGCGAAATTTCGCGGAAAGTTAAAAAATAGTTAACTTTTTTGCGACGCCGCAAGAAGTTAAAAAATTCGCGAATTTTTCCCGCCATAAAAAAATCAAATGTTAAATGTCAAATTCCAACCAATCGGAAAATATCCGCAAAAAAAAATTCGCGATTTCGCGTCCATGGAGACTAGGCTTAAGATGTAAGGATAAAGCCTAGTCTCCATGGACGCGAAATCGCGAATTTTTTTTTGGGGATATTTTCCGATTGGTTGAAATTTGACATTTAACATTTGATTTTTTTATGGCGGGAAAAATTCGCGAATTTTTTAACTTCTTGCGGCGTCGCAAAAAAGTTAACTATTTTTTAACTTTCCGCGAAATTTCGCCAAAAAAAAATGAGGTTATGTGGTGTTACTTTCAGTTTAGTTTTGTTTATGTTTTTGTCGGTATGTGCTCTGTTCTGTGCTGTGTCCTCTGTGAGTCGTTGATGTGTTTTGTACTTGTAGATACCTAATAAAGAATGGATACTGCCAAAGAATTGAATATTGTAGACCCGAAAACAGACATAAATTACAGCTTGCTGGTTGATGAGGAAGATTATAATAGGGCCTTAAATGTAATTAAGACAACACCAAGACACATATCTTTTTTTGTTTTTTAGTAATCACTTTCATGGTTTTCAAAGATTAGTGTTTGAAATTCAAAGCATTTAAATCGAATTCAAATTGATTACAAACAACAACACATAGGTAACCTTAACCTGTTAAATAAAACGCGAATTTCGCGCTTATGGAGACATGGGAATAATTTGCTCGGAAATAGCCACCAAAAAATGACACTTAAAAAATTCGCTTTCCGCGATTTCGCGTCTATGGAGACTAGGCTTAAGGATACATTTTTTTTGCACTGGTTCGACAAATGGAAATCGCTGTAACACTACACTACTTAAGGTGAATTCGGCTTGGCAAAACGGAGTTGGAGCGGATAGAAAGCAGTTTCATAGTCACCTGATCACAGAGTGTAAAGAGTAAACTGGTCACGGAACGTATCGCAGGGAATAAGGTCAGCCACTGCCCGCGAATGCCGCGGGGGTTTGCGCAAAGATGTTCAAGCACATTCCATTTTATTATTAAACAATAAACAATTGTTCCCAGATAAAAGAATCTAATTTAAAGTAATATAAAAACAAAAATATTTACTACTTTGTTCTAGTATTAGCATTTTTTCATTACTAGAACGAGATTATCCCCATTACAAGCCGAAACATGTGTTTTTGTGGATATTTTGGGGAGCAATGCCATTTTTTCTACCAGGAGCCCCAGGAGGCAACCAAACTCTAAGGAAAAAATATCTTCCTTGAACTCTTTAGGTTAGGGTCGTTAGGATAGTGGATTATCGAAAACCTAAATTTTATCGCCTTTTGAAAAAATATAGGAAGTGCGCATGCCCGCTCCTCGAGCTTCATCACGCGAGGTGGTGCTTGTGGAGTTAACTCTATTCACTCTACTTGGCTGTACCCGAGCGATGAGAAGCTGGCACTTTTTGCTCCCAGTGGCGTGATCCGAACGATTTTGCAGTGAATAGGGTCAAAGAAGTTAAAAGAGTTGCCAAGCCAAACTTACCTCTAGGATTGGTAATCGGCCTCTTTTTTGGTAATCGCAGCTATTAGACTATCCAAAACACGTGACTTTGACAAGCAAAATATGGCCGACAAGAGGCACACAAACATTGACACAAATACAAACCATAACGTCATTAAGCCTAGGGCCGAGATTCTAAAATCACGATTCGACACACGACTCGACAACGATACCAGCCTTGTCGTGTCGAAAGGTATAATTCCAATGAGATTTCTAACCTAGAATCGTCGGAAAAATCGACTCGTTGTCGACTCGTATGTCGAATCGTGATTTTAGAATCCCCGGCTAGTACTCATAACTGCGAAATTCGCATTTTTATGACATTGCGTTGACAATTTGACATTTTATGCGTGTATCAAATGTCAAATTGTCGAAGCAATGTCAAAAAAATGCGAATTTCGCAGTTATGAGTACTAGGCTTTATAGTTGGGGAGCTGGCATCAAAAACATGCAAGAGTTTTCGCAAGGCTGATATTTTCAAAATAGGTCGTACTTTAGTGCTAGAATGCTAGTGTACAGTCAGCACTCACAGTTCCGGGACAGCTGGCTCTGGGACGCGGGCAAAGTTGTAATTTTAAGAAGCATCTAAACTGTTTTCTCAAAGCTCAAAATTTATAGAAATTTTGCACATTATCTGTTTGAAGGTCACAGATAACGTATGTAAATCGTCAGACGTCTAGTTCGTTGCAAAAAGGGGGTCAGGCGTCCTCAAAGTTTTTATTTTATGGCATTTTCTTCGGTGTCCTGTCAAAATATATTTTTGCAGGTATTTGACAAATATATTTGAAGAAAATGCCATAAAATAAAAACTTTGAGGACGTCTGACCCCCTTTTTGCAACGAACTAGACGTCTGACGATTTACATACGTTATCTGTGACCTTCAAGCAGATAATGTGCAAAATTTCTATAAATTTTGAGCTTTGAGAAAACAGTTTAGATGCTTCTTAAAATTACAACTTTGCCCGCGTCCCAGAGCCAGCTGTCCCGGAACTGTGAGTGCTGACTGTACACTAGCATTCTAGCACTAAAGTACGACCTATTTTGAAAATATCCGCCTTGCGAAAACTCTTGCATGTTTTTGGCGCCACCTCCTGGACTATTATGTTATGTCATTAATAATCATAATACAGGGGCGCGTTCACAGTGGTTTACCCTGGGTAAAACTTAACCAGGTTAAATATTTCACTGGTTGAAAAGGATGCGCTTGGGATGACAAATTCGTGAACGACTATAACGCCTGCGCCATAACGAGGTAGGATTTGATTTTGTTATCCTTTTGTTTACATACGTTGTGTTCCGAATGTTTCGAGATGGATCCGGGAATAATATTTTTTTAAAGTACTATTGAAACTTTTTCGGATTCGCCTGATACATAGGAAGAAGTCAGCTATGCTGTAGCACAAGCTGCATGTGCTAGCGCTAGCAGTTTAAGTTCAAGCCTGAAAAAAGGCATATTGAAAGACAGGATAATTTTATGGCAACAATACGCAATTATAGCAATAAGGAGTTTCAGGAAAATTTTGGAGTTTCCAGAGAAGCTTTAGACTGGCTTCCTGGAAAACTTGAAAACCAGTTGAAGTCAGCAATGTATGGCCCAGAAAGATTACCAACAGTATTGTTTATAAAATTTCAAATATGCTTGTAAAACGCCTGCGCGACAAATTTTACCCATGTCTCAGAGTGGGTTAAAAAGTTGTACAACCAGGTAAACTTATCATGGCTCTGTGAACGGAGCAAATATTTTAACCGGGTGAATTAAGTAGATCCGTGAACGACTTAACCCTGCAAAAGACACGCTCGGTGTGCACTCGGTGAGCGTCCGGCGTTCGACTGTGAACGCACTCCAGGCCGAATTCTCATGGGCGTAGGTTGACATTTCTGGCGTAATCACGTGAGAAAATGGTTGGGTTTTATTGGAAAAATATTTGACATGTTGGAGATTTTACCAATCAAATTACACCATATTATCACGTGATTACGTCAGAAATGTCAACTTACGCTCATGAGAATTCGCCCTCAATACTT